ATCTTGGTTGAAATTTTTAGAAAAGAAACACATTAGCAGTAGTAATAGTAGATTATGAATTCTTAGTTAAGTGATATATTATGTACCACTTATGATATATTAGGTACCACTTATGATATATTAGGTACCACTTATGATATATTATTAGGTACTACGTATGATATATACCAGAAAATACTGTCCTCGAATGAAACACCCCATTATACAAGGAATGATGCAAAAGGTTTTTTATATAGGGTATTTACCCTTAAATGTACATCAGAAGTAGAGGGCTCCAAAAAATTTATTCTAGAGGTTTATGTTTTAATGTATAATTTTTTTCTTCATTTAAACTCATTTTCCACACCACTGCACATAAATGATTTAAAAGTTCATTCACAACGCCATTTGATTCCAGCTCTTTTGAGGAGAGGCTTTTAACACGTTGGCAAAATTACCAATAATTCTGAAAACTTTAGTTTAAATATCTACTTATTTATAAACTATTTTGCACAAAGTGCAGTAGTTGGCAGGCTTGCAAATTTAGTACAAATTAAGTGGGAAGCAAAGCGATTGGAGCATCCTGCGAGATTTAAGTAATCCAGTTCCCCTAAATAAACTTTTCTCTTTTTACAGGGATGCCCACTTGCTCCGGACAGCAAATGTATATTTTAAAGTGGTAGTTTATCAATTGTGATTCCTGGTTTAATAAATAAAATTTTGTTGATTTTTATCCACCACTATTTCTAAATAATTTGTAGGCTTATATAATTCACCACTTTATAGTGCTTATATCATGCCATACCTTTTAAAAAGCAAGCAAAAATAGTCAAATATTTGCAAAATTTACTATGAAGTTATTTACCGTTTTTTTTAATTATTTTGGCGTGTCCGGAGCTGTTGGCATCTCCGTTTTTATCGCCAGAATTTTCTTGAATATTTAAAGTGGTAGTGAATTTTATGTGACACGATTTCATTTCTGATATAAACAAATTCCACTTATAATAATTTTGACAATCATTATATGTAAACGGTACAATATATGGTACGGAAACCGTGCAGTCAAAGTTTTAAGTGAATGCTAAGGTATAATTATTTAAGCATAGCCTTAATTTTTTACATCGCGATCACTAGGAGCTAAGACGACACGTTGCGAGAGTTAAGACCAGAGATGCCAACTGCTCCGGACACGCCAAAATAATTAAAAAAACGGTAGATAACTACAAAGTAGATTTTGCAAATATTTGTCTATCTTTGCTTGTTTTTTAAATGGTATAGCATGACATAGGTATGATAAAGTGGTGAATTGTATAAGTCTACGAATTGTTTAGAAATAGTGGTGGATAAAAATCTACTAAATTGAATTTATTAAACCGAGAATCACAATTTACAAACTACCACTTTAAGATATATATTTGCTGTCCGGAGCAAGTTGGCATCTCTGTAAGACTAGCGGGGTGGTATCTTTGTTAACAGCCATGTAAATTTTTTAAAAAAACTGTGTTATCATTTATTACCATTATTTTAATAGAAACTTATTCATTAAAATTGTCGCCCAACGATTCATTAAAATTGTCTATTTATCTATGTGTTTCACCGTAAACTTTTAGAAAGAAAGTTCAACTACTAAATTGAGATACCTGAAAAATCTATTAAAAGGTGCCGTAACATTTATTCTAGAGGTTTTTATGTATTATTTTTTATTCATTTAAACTTATTTTCACCACCATTACACAGAAATGATTTAAAAGTTCATCCGCAACTCCATTTGATTGCAGCTCTTATATGGAGAGGCTAGCATACCTGCCAACTCTCCCGCATTTTGCGGGAGATTTTATTTTCATATTTAAAGTGGTAGTAAATATATACTATTTTTTCTTTTATAAATTTAAGTTTTAAATGATTTTGATCACCACTATTCTTACAAAAATTAAGCTTATATATTAATATGCGTTACTATCGTGGTTGTCAACTTAATTTTTTTCAAATACAACGTATTTGTTTGCTTAAAGTTGAAGTTTTAATTCCCTTTTAATACCACTGGGAAAAATGATAATGGAAGGGATTAAAAGTTGGCAAAATTATCAAAAATTCAGAAAGATATGGTTTTAAATGTCTTCCCATTTCTAAACTACTTTGCAAAAATTGCAGTAGTTGGATGAACCTGCAAATTTAGTATAACTTTCACAGAAAGCGGAACTGTTAGAGCATCCTGCGAGGTTTAAGTAATCCTGTTCTCCCAAGCAAACTTCTCACTTTCTTATCGAAAGAATTTTCTTGAATATTTAAAGTGGTAGTGCATTTTATGCGAGACGATATTATTTCTGATGTAAGCAAACTCTTTTTGCAATAATTTTGAGCATCACTAAATGCTGACAATTTTAACAAATATGACACGGAAACCGTGCAGTCAGAGTTTCAAAAGAATGCAAAGGTAAAATTACTTGAGCATATCCTTAATTTTTTACATCGCGATCACTAGGAGCTAAGACGACACATTGTGAGAAGCTAAGACTACCGGGCATCTTTGTTAACAGCTATGTAAATTTTATTAAAAAAAACTGCGTAATCATTATTACCATTATTTTAATAAAAACTCATTCATTAAAGTTATCGTAGATCATCAGATTTATATCAGTAAGTCTTTTTGATTAAAGTAGAAACTTATTGAAAGGAAGCTCGTCTTCTAAGTTGAGCTACCTGAACAATCTATTAAAAGGTACACAAAATTTTATCGAACGTCGTTTTTCCTGCCAATTATGAAAATTCTAGATTAAAAAGTGAAATAACCTTGTTCTCAGAGACTCCAACTACTACGGAATCTTTGTATTCCCAAATTATTATTTTTCCAATGGTAGTAAACTAAAGCAGAACTATTTTAAATCAAACAGATAACTAAAAAAATTGTTAGAACTTAAATGAACGTCTGTCTGTGATTTTATATGTATCAGTTGCTTGTGTTTCGTAGCAGACAATTTTTTTTTAATTCTAGATTGTTAAAATATCTATGCATCACCCTTGCTATGACAAGGAAAGAAAATTTCTGAAACAACGGACGCACAGGGCGTCAAAAAAACGGTCCACCCTGAATAACTTTTTATTTAACACGTTGAATGCCACACTAATTTTACATTGCTTGCCCGTCTGCCCACAACGGTAAATAACTACAAACTAATTTTGAAAATATTATAGACAGATTTTGCTAGTTTTTTTAAAAGGTTTAGTATGACATGTCTATACCTGCCAACTTTTAATCCTTTCTAGGATGATTTTCAACTGTGGTAGTAAAATTGAATTTAAATTACAATTTTAGGCAGAAACATACACTGCATTTTGAAGGAGCGTATGCGGACTACTATAACAGTATTACATAATTATATATATGCTTAATTTTTTTTGAAATAGTGGTGCTCAAAAGGATTAAAATTATGTTTATAAATACGAGGAATATAAAAAAAGCATGTGTTTTACTACCACTTTAAATATAGAAATAAAATTTTAAGCCAAATGCGTAAAAGTTGGCAGGAATGTATAACTAAAAATAGCGGTGAATTATATAAACCTACGAATTGCTTAGAATTAGTGGTGGATAAAAATCTACTAAATTGAATTTATTAAGCCAAGAATCACAATGAATAAACTACCACTTGAAAATATTTATTCGCTGTCTGGAGCAAGTTGGCATCTCTGTGTATATAAATAAAACTATTTTTGTGTGTTTCATATCGCATTAATTTATTCAAACCATTTTAGTAACAATAATAATCTAAAAATATTAAAAATTTACTCGAATTATGTGTTTCTAATAATCTTGGCTTCGGTCACCGGTGACCCCCGTGGCGCTACGAGCAAACGCAGTGACGGTAACCGGTGACCTCCATGGCATTCAACGTGTTAATAATCGGATTTTCACATTCTAAGACTCAATCCTATAAAGTACCATACCCTCCAACTGCTACGGAATTTCCGTAGTTTCAGAAATCTTCTTTTCAGACGGTAGCAAAATTAATGTCTTAATATTTAAAAAAAATTAATTTTAGCGTAACTTGTCCACTATTACTTATAAAAGTCCAGGCCATATGGCTAGATTCTTAAGTTCTGATAAAAGTTTCATGAAAGATCCATTTGCTTTAAAAATTTCTACTTTGGTTCGCTACCACTAGAAAGAATTATTTTCAAAATCTTCATAAGTTGGAGGGTATGAAGTACGGGGAGGTGACCTCAAATATGCTAAATATTAGTAAAGACAAGTTTTAAAGTTACGAAATCAGTAAAAAAAGAAAAAACGTACTTTCCCTTAAAAAATATAGCATTTTTTTTCGAACGATTCGGAGTTTTGACTCTCAAAGTATTGGGAGAAGCCACAATCTGGGGAAAATGGTCCCCATAGAAGAGCGATCCAAAGTTGGGACCTCTTGATGTTAATTTTACTATTTATGCTACGAATTGAAAAATTTTTGCTCACAATTACATACCTGCCAACTCTTCCGGATTTTCCGTAAGATTTTATTTTCATATTTAAAGTGTTAGCAATACTCAGTTTATTCTAATTAACTTTTTGAATTATAATGATAATTACAAATGAATTTGACCACCACTACATATAATTAATTATAATAAATATATGAAAGCATAATAATCCTTGCACAAGCGACCTCACCAGTTCGACTCAAGCCTCTGCAGAGTGCGGTTGTGTTAAAACTAGCTTTGTGCGCACCATGTCTTATCAACGTTTTTCGCGAGGTGGGAAGCGGCGGACCGAAAGGCCCGTGCAGCAACCCGATCCTCGTGAAAGATTTGCTATGCTGGAAACTGACGAAGAACGATAGGAGTTCTGCTCTACATTTGCTAATCAGTGCCTCACTAAAGGAATCATTGATAGACAAATTGAGATCATTGAAGGATTAATGAAACGACAAATATCAAAAGGAGAAAAGCCATCCTAATTACTTGAATTTAAAGTGAAAGCTCTCAACATCAGAAGAAATGAACTATTCCCTGAGGAGTCTGATAAGGAAATCATGCCTATGGAAACAGTCACGCTGAACCAACCAGATAAGCCGAAGGAAGCCTCAGAGATAGTTACTTCTTCCGAAACCAACTCTTTAGTACCGGAAAACAACTCGGAGCTTAGTGAAGAGGCCTCGGCCTCAGAAACTGAGCCCCAGACTCATAACCAGATAGAACAGCCTGCCAAGAGGAGAAAAAGGAAGAAGAAGAAGAAGCAAACTCATGGAATCATCACAAAGACTACTAACAGCCCTTCTACTCCTGAATCCCTCCCAGTACCTGAGCCTACTACTGACACTACTTTGGAACCCAAGGAAGAACAACCATCCAAGTCTGCTAAGATTCTCATCCGAGGGCTTCCAGTCGACTTCAAAATAGAGGATATTTCTCTAGAAATAGAGAAATCAGGCATCACTTCACATAGGATTATCCAGTTCAAGAAGAGGGTGGGTGGAGCCTATAGGCTCCTCCCCCTTTTTCTCGTCATTACTCCATTGGCCAATCAGCAGAAAGCTCATTCCATCCAGAGTATCATGCAGATTCCCATCTCTACCGAGAAATTTCGTGGCGGCAGCCGGCCCATCCAGTGCTTTAGATGTCAAAGCTACGGACATACTCAGCGCTCCTGTGCCAATCAGCCGAGATGCATGAAATGTGCAGACTTCCACTACTCCTACCAATGTGAAAAAGACAGAAATTCTCCCGCCAAATGCTGTAACTGCGACGGGAACCACACCTCCAATTTCACTGGGTGCGAGGCCCGTCCCAGTGGAAAAAGCCAACAATCCAAGGACACACCTGCATCCACAGATCATCGCCTGGTCTCACTAGTAAAAGAACTGCAGGAGCTCCCCAAGAATCATGAAGTCACAAGCCTACTTCAATCTCTACTGAATGGGGTCTCCCCATCACAATGATGACTCTCATGCCTCAACTCAAGCCCATCTCCACCGATGTAGCCTCATCTTACTAATATCATCTCATCCTCATTCCAACCGCAAGGAATAACCTCATCGACATCATCACAAGATGAAGGGGTAAAGGGCCGTTCCGGCCTCAGGCACCCCAAACAACCTCCTAGATTAGATATTGCACAAGCGAATTTCAACGGGAACAAAATTTAAATATATTGTTGAGTCAGATTGTTTTTCGTTTATTGTTTTATAACCACTCCGAAAATCCATTCTCGGAAAGAGTGAAAGTTGGCAGGTATGCAATTACAAAATTCATTTATCCAAAGATAATTCCATGCAAAAAAATTAGTTTTAGTCACTATGTACTACTTTTCATATTTTTCATTATTTAATAATAGAAGAAAAAATTTGAATTGGTATACAATTTTAACATCCTTTTAAAGTATCGAATTTCCCATGGCACATTACAAAATTTCATCGAAATCATTTTGGATCGGATAAATTTTGTAGTTTGCCATGTAAAAGTAGATGCTTTAAGAGGATGCAAAAATTGCATACCTGACACTTCAAAACCTTTTCAACTGTTATTTAATAAAATAATAAAAATTTACCAAAACTTATTTTTGCACGTAATTATCTTGACGAATTTTATAATTATGAGTAAAAAATTTTCAATTATCTTAAGTTCTTGAGATATGGCAAAATAAACAAAATGCAAAAAAAAAATCATGAAGGGATTTCCAAATTACGGCTACGCCATTTATTTTGGAGGTTAGAAATTGGATTCCGTTGAAAAAAAGGCTATGTTTATCCAAAGAAAGTACATTTTTGTGTCTGTAACTTAAAATATAGCCTGCTTTTATTAATAAGCACATCTGAAGTCACCCTCTCAAACTATTAAGATTGAATCCTAGAGCGTGAAGATTCAATGAATAGAACAAAAGTTATTCAGGGTGGTCGGATTTTTTCTTTTTGTTTCGTACAATGCATATTAAGCGTCAAAAAGTTTATCAAGAATCCTGAACAAAAGTTCGTTATTACTTTTGTAACAAACAAGTAATCAAGTTCAAGTATGTTGCTTGATCCTTCGTTATTCCTCACTTTAATACCAGTGTAGTTTTCTTTATATCATTGAAAAGAAGGGGAATATGCATAATTTTGCTTTGCTCTACTCTCATTTATGACGCCATTTATAAACCTAGGCGAGAAAAGAAGAAACCAGGAATCTTAGCAAGGTATAACTGTTGTAGCATGAGTTACTTACTAGTGGATGTATTTTATTCAATTCTGATTCTCGCGGCCATCATTGCGTCGATAGTTTTGATATCCAATAGATGTGTCTGCTTCAGGAATCATAACATCGCTTTACTGCAGAGCAGATGCCAACTTGCTCCGGACAGCAGATAAATATTTTCGAGTGGTAGTCTTTTAATGTGTGATACTCGATTTAATAAATTCGATTAATAGGGATTTTAAGCACCACTACTACTAAATAATTCAAATGTTTAAGTTATACGCCCCTTTGCTGCAGGCTCAGGGATGCCAACTTGCTCCGGACAGCAAATATATAATTTAAAGTGGTAGTTTATCAATTGTGATTCTTGGTTTAATAAATTCAATTTAGTAGATTTTGATCCACCACTATTTCTAAACAATTCGTAGGCTTATATAATTCACCACTTATAGTACTTAAGCCATGCCATACCTTTTAAAAAGCAAGCAAAAATAGTCAAACATTTGCAAAATTTAGTTAGTAGTTATTTACCGTTTTTTTTAATTATTTTGTCGTGTCCGGAGCAGTTGGCATCTCTGCAGGCTAGCCTCACAGCCATATATGGCAACGTTACTTTTAAAGAGTAACGAGTAAAAAGTAAAAAGTTCTTATTATGAAAAGTAACAAGTGAAAAGTACAAGTACTAAACAAAAAAAGTAACGATTTAAAAGTACATTTCTAGGAAATCGAAAATTCAAAGTAACCTAAAATTTTATTGAATAATATTCTGCTGTTCTTTAATGTTTTTGCAAAATTGTTGTTATTTATTTAATTGTTTTTAATTTTGAAAGTTATGGACATTAATTTATTTTTAAATTCGGAAGAATATTATAATATAATTTTATAATATAATCATATAATATAATTTTAAAATCAAATGTAATTTTAATATCTAACTTTTTATGGATTTGCACGAAAAAGAAATTTTATCTATTGATTTTAATTTTTTGTTTCTTATTTTTATTTATTTAAATTACCATTGATTTAAAAATTTTTTACTCTATAGAAACGCTTTTAAAAGCACAAACATAAACAAAGCAAACGCGGGGTTTCAGATAGCTTTGTGGTCTTTGAGCTAGTAAAAAATAATTGAATGTGCAGTATAAGTTGAAACAGAACAGTCTACAGTTTTATTTGTAACAATAGCTAATGCTGAAGTCATGCGAGAAAATCATTTTCTGAACATTTCTGCCTAACGGAATAATTAAAATTTGTAAACGAATTTTAGTATCAGCGGCTAAATTAATACCTTCGAGTTTTCAAGAGTTAAAATAGTAATTATAATAGTTTTCAATAGCACAAATAGTTCTGAAGTTCTTAGAGTGGGCGTTTTTTGATGAGGTCGCACAAACATAATTTTAGTAAAAAATGTACTAGGTAAAAATGTATTTAGTAAAAAATGCATTAAGACTTTTGTCTTAATGCATTTTTATTAGTAATTATTAGTAAGTTCAAAAAGAAAATTGAAAAACGTAATAACAAAATCCAACATTTTTTCATTTAAATAAATGCATAAAACTCGAAAATGAATGAAAATAACTTGCTAATTAATATTTTTATTCAATTTGCAAAATAATTGCATTTCGAAATTGGTGTCACTGAGTCTGCTGCGAGAATTTCTCAGAACGTGCTTATCCAAGCTGAATAAGCGCTCCACGGGAGCACTAGAAGGTACTGCAGTATTATATTTCACATATAATTTTTTTACGATTGGATATCGATTCAAAATTGATATGCTTTCCGTTTCGACATTTGAGCTCATACATGCCATAAATTCTTCTGTCGCTGGTGATTGGTATGATGTTTTGAGCTTTAGAAAATTTAAAATCCCTGGGTTTTTTTCTGTTACGTTATTAGTTATAGCAGGGTGTTCAGCTAAGACAATTCTTTCCAATTCTTTTGTAGCCTCCTCCCTAGCTTTTTCTTCCAACCAATTAAATTTGATGCAAGGTACCAGACCAGCAGAAAACTTTCTTTAATTTAATTTATTTTTTTTAGAAAGCTTACCGAGTTTTTGAAAAATGTAACGATTTCATTCGATATTTCTGTTACAAATACTTGTACTTTTTCCCTAAAAAAGTAACGAAAGTACAAGTAAAAGTACTAAATTTACAAAGTAACGAAGTACAAGTAAAAGTACGTACTTCTTACTTGTACCGGCGGTACAAGTAACGAAAGTAAAAGTACTGCCATATATGCTCACAGCATATATACAAGCTAAACGCAGATTTTTTCGATAAAGCCATAGAATGTAAAATAGCAAATTTTAATGAAATCTTTAAATTTGAAAATTACTTCAAAAATAAAAACTACAGACAAATAGCTGCATATTTCACCTCCGACGCCTCATACCATAACTATCAAAACAAATAATTTCCTCAACATTTCTGAAAATAACGCTTCCTCATGCTGATACAATTCTGAACAACTCCAAAATCAAACAAACACAGTTTAGAGCAAGCTGCTTATTTTATTTTTTCATTCCTTTTTAGTTATTCAAGCAAAGTGCTTGAAACATTCACAAAAGCAACTCCACTGCCTGCTTACCTCAATGCTCAACTGAAACAGTGTTAAAATTCCAGATGAATGGAATAGGGGTCTCTTCGCGGCCCAGGTGCCCAAAAAAATCAAAACACTAGGACTAGGCTGGTAAGCCGTGTTGCTCAATTTAAAAGTCTGCCAAATTAACTAAAAATCCGCAAATTTCAATTCTCTATTACTTTTTTAAATATTATGTCTAGTCCGGAGCAGTTGGCATCTGTGTAACTGTTGTACTGCAAGAGTTACTGGTGGTTGTATTTTATTAAATTCTGATCCTCGCGGCCATAACTGAATGTATAGTTTTGATACCTAATAGATTCCCCTGCTTCAGATCAAACGCAGCGATTATTTTTGAAAATTTTATGCGAAACTTTTTGTGAATAGAATGGGTGTGTCATTACGCAGTTTTCCCACTTGCAACAATTTCTCATTCTTAAGAAGTTGGAATATACTGGTGAAGGGTAAGATAAAACTTGCCGAGTACGGAGAGGGGGAAATTGTATTGTATAAGGTGAGGATATCGCGTAACATTGAGATGCATATTCTATTTAAACGGATAATAAATATATATGAAGTCTGGAGTAAAGAATTTTGACATCTTTTATTATAATTAATGATAAAGCTTAATAAACTCATCCATCAACTTTAATTGGTTTAACCGGAGGTAGCAAATGTAATGATTTAAAACTGATTTTAATTTAAAAAGCGATTTACAATGATTCTAGCCACCGCGCCTTTTAAAGAATCTCAACAAACATGTAGGACTCGTAACAGCGTCTTGAAGATTCTAAGCACTGACAAAGTTGATCAAATTTTGTTTGCCTCAATTGTTATTATATATATATATATATATATATATATATATATATAGCACATAAAGGCTTGACCTATGAAATCTATTAATCTATTCAAAGCTTTCTCCAAAGCCGATTGATTCTTATATTTTATAAAAAAAGTATAAATTTTCTATTCTAAATCGGTTCAAGTATTTTATACATTTATTCTGCTTAATAAAATCTTTCGCGTTCCACTCGGGGCAGGGGATTGCAAAAAGTTCACAGCTACTATTTTTCCCTTTGAAATATAGAATCAATATTTCCAATAATTTTATTTCGTCTTTCTTCTTCGAAGAACTTATAATTTACCTTTCTTTATCTCATCTTGTTTGATAATGGAAATCTGTTCCTAT